GATCCCGGCGACTGCAGCGCGGACACATTCCGATTTCTACTGAAAATCGGAATGTGCACGGTATGGTGAACAGAAGTGGGTCAAAAGATGAGTTTTTTTGGTTGCGGCCGCGAGGGGCAGGGGAAGCACATTCCGATTTTCTGGAAAAATCGCAATGTGCATGGTATGGTGGATGCAAACTGACCAAAACCGGACATTTTTGGCTAGCGGCCAGAAGGTGGGCTTTCGAGCGGCCAGTTTGAAGCCTTTCCGGTCGGATCCCGGCAACTGCCGCGCGGGTACATTCCGATTTCTACTTAAAATCAGAATGTGCACGGTATGGTGGACAGAAGTGGGCCTGAAGATGAGTTTTTTTGGTTGCGGCCGCGTTGGGCAAAAAAAGGCACATTCCGATTTCCCGGCAAAAGCGGAATGTGCATGCTATGCTGGACTGAAACTAGCCAAAACAGGGCACGTTTAGGCGGCTGCTGGAGGCAATCAGTAACTTCGAGGGCACGACTTCGTGAATGTTGTGGCAACTTGAATCAACAAACAAAACCAAACCGTCATTGAATAAAAATAAAATTTTGAAAATTCGTGGATTCTGAACTGCGATAAAAACAAAATTTTGAAATTTATCACGCGACAGCTATGGTGTGTCCCGTTCTGCGTCCGAAACGGGACACACCACCTCCTGGGCAGCAGTTGTGTCCCGTTTTGGGTCCGAAACGGGACGCACCACCTCCTAGTCAGCAGCGGCGTCCCGATTTGGGTCGGCAGCGGGGCCAAAATGCGGAAAAACCCAAGCTATGGTCGTAGATATCTTTCCAAAACAGGGCTACTTGGAGGCGAGGCTCGCTCGGCGGAAAAGGGCTTTTTCGCATTTCGCCGAAATGCGGAAAACCCCAAGGCATTGTCGTAAAAATCCTTGCAAAACCGGGCTACTTGAGGGTCAGGCTCGCTTGGCGGAAAAGGGCTTTTTCGCCTTTCGCCGAAATGCGGAAAACCCCACGGCATGGTCGTAAAAATCCTTGCAAAACCGGGGTACTTGGAGGACTTGGAGGCGAGGCTCGCTCGGCCGAAAAGAGCTTTTCCGCATTTCGGCGAAATGCGGAAAAGTCAACGGTATGGTCGCAGAAAATCTGCAGAAATCAGGCTACTTTGAGGTGAGGCTCGCTTGACCAAAAGCGGCTTTTCCGCATTTCAGGAAAATGTGGAAAACCCCACGGCATGGTCGCAGAAAATCTGCAAAAGCAAGGCTACTTGAAGGTGAGTCTCGCTCGCCCGAAAAGGGCTTTTCCGCATTTCGCCGAAATGCGGAAAACCCCACGGCATGGTAGTAAAAATTTTTCCAAAACCGGGCTACTTGGAGGTGAGGCTCGCTCCCCCGAAAAGGGTTTTTCCGAATTTCGCCGAAATGCGGAAAACCCCACGGCATGGTCGCAGAAAATCTGCAGAAATCAGGCTACTTTGAGGTGAGGCTAGCTCGGCCGAAAGGCGCTTTTCCGCGTTTCAGAAAAATGCGGAAAACCCCACGGTATGATCGCAGAAAATCTGCAAATAAAGCAGGGCTACTTGAAGTTGGGGCTCGCTCGCCCGAAAGAGGCTTTTTCGCATTTTGCCGAAATGCGGAAAGCCCCACGGCATGGTAGTCAAAATCTTTCCAAAAGAACCGGGCTAATTGGAGGTGAGGCTCGCTCGGCCGGAAAGAGCTTTTCCGCATTTGGGCGAAATGCGGAAAAGTCCACGGCATGTTCGCATAAATCTTGCCACAACTACCGGGCTGGTTCGAGGTGACGCTCGCCTAGCCGAAAAGGGCTTTTCCGCATTTTGGTTGAATGC